ATTGTGGGAAGTCTGAATTTACTAAAACAAAAACTTTGGTCGTTCAGTGATATACGTTTGATCTTTATGACAGTTTGCTTAAATGTGTCATGTGGCCACCCATTGAAGTGCATAAACACGGGGAACAAATTTCTCCTACACCCGATGTAAGTTTGGATTTCTTACATCCTCTGCATATGTTTCATACAACAAATGTAATTGCAGTACTTTCAGTGGACATCTGTAATAGAATCTTACATTTCCCGGTTGGAAATACCCTATCGCCGTATGTCTTGATATTCCATATTAACATTAAAGCACAGAACAGAAGTGTGCTGGAATGAGTATATCAAAAAGTGGGACAACATTTTTGATCACCAAGCGATGCTTGTGGATGCGCTACACACGGGTTTTCTATGGACACACACATCATCAAAGCATGCTGCCCATGTAAACTGCAGGTAAAACTTGCCTTCTACCGCTAGGTGCGCTAGTGTTCACAACAATAAATGGAGCCAGTTTTGGATCCGAAATTCCATTGATGATCTGTGATTAAAGTGTGTACAGTACCCGTTCGTTTATGGTTACAAGCCCGAAAATTTAGTGTTGCCAAAATCGAACCGTGCCAAAATCAACGGTTTTATTTTTATATTTAATTTATGAATTCGTTGAATTTTGACCACCGTGAGTCATCTTTATGATATAGACTTTGTTAGTAATTAACTTTTTATTGAAAATTGTGATCACAAGGAGCAAACATACATTATTTTCACTATTTTGGATTATAGGGGAAATGAATGTAATATCGGCCTAAATGCCCCAAATTTGGGCCCATACATAAATTCAGCAATCGACTAAATTTTCAATAGTGACCATAAATATCCATTAGTACCGTCCCAATGACGCGTTCATCTAGATAAAATTGATAAATAGCAGATTTTTAGCAATGGGCCCAATCTTAGATCCATAGGCCAACATTAGGGCCATTTCCCCTACTTTCTTTTTTGTGCTATTCAAATTGATGCGAGAGAGCTGAACTCTATGTACACATTCCTAACTTATATGATAAAATACAATCGATAAGTTTCATGATCGTGGCTATGGCGCGGCAGAGTAATTAGCAAGCACACTCAAAAACACTTGCAGCCTATTAGCTCGGAAGTCATCTTTGCGGAGATCTCAGTCAAATTTTCGTTTGTTTGTCAATTCGAATGAAGGAACAAAATTCTAAGAGAGTGTTTGTGTTTTAACAAACATTGATAGATTATTTTGAGGCATCAACATTAAAATTAAACCATTCATTTACGATGGCATGATATTTTTAAATAGAATCAATTCAAGGTTTGAGAGTGTGTTTCTGTGTCGTAGCTGTCGTGGCTCGTTTATGTTCATGTAAGGTTGTCGGTCGTCGATTAAATTTGGTTAATGACTTTTGTCTCCCTCACGATGCTGATATCCACAGTGATCCTAGTAGGGATCTCAGGATGACACTCTCTGGTGTCGAAGATGGTAACTGTGAATAACTGACCATCAGCCGGAAAAGAATCTGCCCGATATCGCCGCACGTCTTACCCAATGAGGTATAGAGAGAGGTGGCGCAGATCGTGACGTCACTACTTGCGTGTACTTGCGTGTATCGTACAGTGGTTGTGTGAGTGATTGCTTCACCTCGGTAATCCAGCTCATTGCGTCTTACCTCCAAGGTGGTTGGTGATTGAGAAGGGCGAGAATGCAGTGTCCAGTTCGTTGTCCTCACAACGCTTATCATGGCTGACTGCGAGTCCCTACGATAGTACTGAATGTTCAGCACACTGCACTGAGAAGCATTGGGCGCTCTTTGTACCCACACAGTAACGGGGTAGATTACTTTTTCGTGATCCATTACGGCGAGAGATCAACGACCGAATCCTAGTTCTGACTTCTTCAAACTAGAGGAACATGTATCTAATACCACATAACATATGTGGAACTCGGTCATAAAAAATCAACCCCATTTCAGTGATTTCAAGTGGTATAGTAGGACATTGATCTGTCAAACTGATTATACCAGCCGTAAATGAGAAAGGAGATCAAGGGGGTAGTGAATTCTATTAAAATATTTCTAACGTGGTTTATAATTCTATGTCTTCTTAGCGCTCTTGAACTCATGTCTTTGTATTGTCATTATTTTTAATTATAAAGATATCGTTCTTTATTTATAATTATATACTGTGTGTGGCAGGATAATTTCTCAAAATGCGATTATACCATAGAGATAACTGTAAGACCAGAAGGTCCCGAAATAACGTGCTCAACTTTTTGGCTCAGCTCTGGTACTCTATTCGGTCCCAAGCCAATCGATTCACCCCTCGAAACATAAGAAAAACCAATAACCCCTCATTTTATCTGTCAAACTTTCATAGCGAATCAAAACAAACATTGCGTAGTACTAGAATTTCGACTAGAATGGGGTACGTTAATCGTTTGCTTGGGACCAATAGGCTAGTCAAGTAGTGAGCCAGTTTAAAATCGTTAGTTTCGTATTGATTGTTGATTATACCATCTGTTCTTTGTTTATAGCCATACGACTGCACCCATTGATTTAACACACGGCGGCTCATTATCCAGAATTCGCTCCTCAAGCCGCTGCTATAAAATACTATCTAAGGTACACACCTATGTAGAATCCTTATGGGCGCAGTAGCATCGCACTTACAAGCGGCGTGCTTCGACCGTCACCAAATGAGAATTTAACATAAGCGCGACAATAAATTATCTTTTTTGTTTTCTTTGGTTTGTTTTCCGTGCTGAGCACCAATGCTACCGACGCCAGCAAGGCAGCTCCCACACCTGGACCCTACCTATCGACCCATCAACTCATGAACCGGGGTCCAACGGCTTTACTTCCCGAAGGAAGGCGTGATCAGAGATGTTATGCCTCAGAACATCCTGGCGGCGCCGACTGGGATTGAACCCAGGCCTGCTGGGGTGAGAGATAAACACGCTTACCACTACACCACCGGCGCCGCTGTTTATATTATAAATTATCGTTTGCATAAAAAAGGAGACAATTTTTGAAGGCGTTTTAATCGATAACCTGCCACCTAAAAAACATAATTTTAAGCTGCCATGGGTTGACTGTTTGCAAATAAATTATGAAAACAATACTTATTGCTTTTTTGTAATTGTGTTGTTTATCTTTGAAAAATATACCAATTTTTATACACCATCTGATAGAGCTTTGTTTTCTGAGCACAACGATATTTTTATCGATCCCGTTAACATTCATCTCGATTTTTAAATCAAAATTTAATTTTTTGATCGTTGACACAAAATCTATTTGTTGACAGCTTGCTTCGATACAAAGTCCCACCAAGGGGCGCTAAGATGGTGATTTTTGCTAATGTAATCGTACTTATTTAAAATAGTTCCAGTGTACCAAAATTGATGAAATTTTGGATTTCGGTTCCATTTTTAATGCAGATAACGAATATGTATTTACCTCAATATCTCTAAACAACCCAATTATGACCAAAAATTGGAGAAACTCCTAGCGAATACTTGTTTATTTCTTTAAATTGGCGAGGGTAATTTTTTTAAATTTTCTTTCTCTATTATAAACTTAGATAACAAATATATGCACCATTTTTTTCCATTCATATTTTTGTTTGGAACCAATTGCATCAAACTTTGATTTCATTTCATAACGTAAAGGGTGTCCACGATGAAATTGCCACACTATGAAATTGCTCTAACTTTTTAACCGTTGGGTAGAATTTAATGAAAATTTGGGTGGATTTAGTTCATAGTGCATTATTTACATCCTGCAAGTTTTAAAGTCCTGTGATCAAAACTCGCGGAAATGGAGTCGAAAGAACAGCTCGTGCGTGATAAAATCTTGCGCATTCATCACGAGAACAAGGATCTCTCGCATCGTTCCATCGCTAAAACGTTGGGAATCGCGAATTTCACGGTGTCGCGAGTGATTAAGCGGTTCGAGGAACGGTTGACCACCGATCGAAAGCCCAGAAGTGAAGGAAAAAGTATTCCGTACAACACCAAAAATCACAACCGCGTAGTTGGGGCCTTCAACCGAAATCCGAACGCCTCCGTTAGGGATGTGGCTAAGAAGCTGCACCTAAGCCAAAGTTTTGTCCAGAAGGCTAAAACTAAGGCTGGGCTTCGAACGTTCAAGGTACAAAAGGCCCCTAATCGCGACGAGAAGCAGAACAAGTCCGCCAAAACCCGTGCCAGGAAGTTGTAAAAATACGACCACACAAAATTGGAGTTAGATGCATACAGTTCAAAGCAGCAATATTTTGCAACAAGTATCCTTGTTTATATATAAGTATTGCAAAGCTGTAAAAGTTCTACCGCCAGTATAAAATAGAGCTGAATACTGAAAAAAAAACATTGTGTGCATTGAGAAACTGAAGTATATTTGCTGGCGATTATTTGAAGCTTTGTTCATTTGATAGCTGTAGCGGAACTTCTACTTCTTGGAATTAATTCGTAAAAATCCCTTGATTTTGTGGAAAATATGCAGTTTTTTTTAGCTGACCTTGCATCTCTCCATTTCACAAGAATTTTGCAAGAAGGAAGACAAATGAAATCGAGCGCTCATCGATACCTGTAATACCCAAGGATTTAACCCTCTCTATGTTTCTAGATTCAGTTTTGACCGAACAAGGTGGATTTTACTCAAATATGGGTAGTTTTCAAATAGCGTGTACTGAGCATGCAACCAAATATCCGATTTTCTTTCATAAGTGTCAATGTCACAAACGTAAACACTGACTTTTCCACGAATTTCTTGAGAATGAAAACTCGCTCAAGTAAGCCACATGGTTTGAGCCCATCTTTGTAAACAACATTGCATACAAATTGCTCGTTTGCGTTTAATGAAACACAAGTTTACGTGTATGAATATTTACATCACAATTAAAATTCAAAATTTTTTGCTGTGTGCGCTACTGAACTTACGGTTACTTAAACGACACAGAAGTAATACGTGAGTGTTGAAGAGTATTTAAGTAGGTTAGATTTTGATAAGCCTTTAGTGGGAATGACACTGATGAAGACTGCACATTGTAGTTGAAATACGTATCTGTCATGGATACCAACATTAATTAAGTGGAATTAAATGGAAGATTGCCTTTTTTGCAATAACTATTGCACGCAATTTAACAACGCAATTTAAACTTGAATCTTCTTTGTCGCTATGGTAAACTGGAATATTGGTAGAGTTAAACAGTAATTTGATTGCATTTACTTTTTTTCAGCGTATTCTGTAGTGAATGTTAGGGTTACCTACCCCATTTCCGTCATATTAAGCGCAACCGGCACTTAGTTTTTCTCAATCTAGCGTAGTTTTGCATGTTTTGGCTTCGAAATTTATCTACCTTTCCGTACGTATCGTAAGATTTGATAAAGAGAAACAAATTGTTGAGATATTGTTAAAAGTCTAACACTGCTTCTTGACGCCAAACTCGGCCTACAGATTCTAAACTCGGTCTAACGCATTGAAACGCCATTGAAACGCAAATGAATTCACTTCGGCCTATCGGATGAAGATAAAAATTGATTCGGTCGGAGCGCTTCTTTTGTTTTTGTGAATTATGGGTGCAATAATATCATGCGTTCTCATTGATTTCGTTCGGTAGCTTATTAGCTAAAGTATCGTACCAAACTCATAATTGGCTTGTTAACTCTGAAATCATGGAATTATTTTGTGTTTTCTGCACGATAGGCCCAAAATGGGTGATTAGGTCGAAGGAGTTCTCTACCTTTTAATCGATTTATTTGATGTTTTCTGCTTGATAGGCCCAAAATGGGCGCTTAGGCCAAAGCAGTTCCCTACCCTATCATTGGATTTTCTTGATCACTATGAATTTTAACTAATATATATATATAGCTGAATATGCTTAACGTCAAATATCAGACTTAAAATGAACATTTTTTACAATAGATGATGAGATGAAAGTATACAGTTGATAGATCCGTTATAGTAGGGTAGTGTGAAAATTGCATACACAAAGTAGAAGGCGAGCAAAGAATAATTGCGACATAAAAAGTATAATTTTTGCATTGTATGTAATACACATAATAGCAAGTAAACAGCATCAATGTGCTAGTTATTGTTGAAATCTTTATCTCACTCAGGTCTCCCGCTCCCGCATAGATGAATTTGAATCTTATCCTATTTTTTTTCCTATATTACTAATAAATGTTTTCATTTCACAAGTCACAACTTTCGTCTCGATTTGTCCAGCCAAGTGGCATGATTACCCATCCACCATTTGCGATACGATCGACGACGATGTAGCGCTTTTGATTGAATTACTATAATTACCATTAATAAAAGCGACTGTTCCTTGTATAATCCGCCGATCCGACCCACACTGCGCGAGAGGTTGATGTGAGGGGAAAAACGTGCCTTCGCATGTCGAGCGCGCGTGCAAGCACCAGTCAAGCGATCCCCAATGTTTAGGTAGGTACCCCGAATGGACCCCTTTTACCACCGTGTCAGCTAACACATATTCGATCGGGGAGCGTAAATTGAAATCTGTTTACAAAACGTGAGAAATTGATAGTTTCGCCTGCCCGGTTTGATTATTATGCATCGCCAAAGCGCCCCGGTGATCCAATAACCGACTGTCTGGTGAACCGCCTGCGTTACGCCAAAACACCCCCTCTCCTAATCTTCTTGCCAAAGCACATATGGTGGCTGTGCAGCAGCGTCTCCTTCGTCATGGTTCTCTACCGGGCGATTAATGTAAGTCCAAAATCAAAACACCAAACCAGACACGGCCGCAAAAGAAACAGCGCAATTGAGAGGCCGAGTGTAAGTTATGTAAAAGTCAGTTCCATGATAGACTTCTATCGGATCGCGCATCGAAGACTTGCGGGATATGTAGTGTAGGGGAATATTAAATTTTATGAAAACTCGGTATCACATGTGAGCTCAGCAGCACCAAGAGCTTGATTCGATCTTAATTCTGCCCGCAAACATGTACTTATTCGATACCACACGGATACGTCATCCTGGTATATGCGCAGGCCTCAACACCGGAGGCACCGTAGATGCTGAGCGAATTGATCAATTAGATCCAAAGTCCTGTGTGATTCGTTCGTCGGGTGGCTAAGCGTTGGCGTTTACTTTCGTTTTTGTCCCCCTCGTTGGCTGTCGGTTGGTTTAGTCGGTCTATCGAGAAAGTAATTTCAGCTTACTAGTGTAATGAAAATGTTTCGTGTTGACTTTATCTGATCTTTGGTATCCTTTCGATGTTGACCTCTCTAGCGTCTCTAGGAGCCCTGACGTTGGATACCTGGTGGGACGAATGTTAGCGATCTAAGATCAATGTTTCCCTTCAACTGTTACGTTTTGAACATACATTTTGCATACATTACGTACAAGGTGCATTGCTGTTGTGCCAGCAGAAACAGGTCAACTGAACTGATTTAATTTTGACATGTGGAGAAAAATTATGCAATTACCATTGCTTTCCATTTGTGTGGTCCACGACTCATACATTGTAACTTTTGCTCCAACGAAGGCGAATCGCAATCAATAGACATCGACCAATAAATCACGATCCCGCTTCTCGTTCTCCAACAATCCTGTAATTACCGGATCTCAATGACCCGGGTGCATTATGGTTCAATCAGACACACACAGCTCAAACAAGGAAGGTGAACTGCAGCGAGCAAATAGCCTCAATCAGTCAATCAATAAAGTTTGAATGAAACTACAATTCATCTTACATAATGCACCCGCGAGTACACCGCCTCCGCCACCGCAACGAGACGTTCAAAGCAAATTAGTTAATCGAAACTACTCAACGAGAGTGGGAGAAAAGGAAACACCACCAACAATAACATCATCATCATCGATGTTCATCAATGGAACAAGCTCTCCCCCACAACTCGTGAACTTGCTCGGCTCGATCTGGTTTTTGGTTTATTGGGGACTGGAAAAGTGGTCCAGCGGGTCTTGGTGGGTGCCCAAACTGGAATATATTTATGGATTTGGGACACGACCGCCCTCGAGCGCAGAGACCTCTGACACCGCGCGGATCCTTTTGTGTTTGTGCAAACTTTACGAGTGATGAATCCAATGGCCTGGTTCGAAAGGTGTCGCTTCGAGGCAAGAGTAGGACACACAGCTGACTGACTGTTGGTCAACTTTTGTCAGAGAATGAAAGTTTTTATCTAGCCCCACAGACCTGATGACGACATTTGTTTTGGCGTGGCTTCATCAATCACGATTGTTCAGTTTTTTTTTTATTCCGAATCAGTGACGCAGCCAAGATTTATGTCTTGGGAGGAGTTTTGTATTAGTAAATGATGAGATAAAATGAAATCTAATTTTTCCTGAAATTTTAAGATTTGAACAAATTATGTTGGTATTGTTAAAAATTATTGACATATAACATGTAAATTTGATCTTTGCACATTTATAGGCACCAAAAATCCTTATTTTCTTCCCAAACTCTCCAGAGATGATCCGTGTGGTAAATAACTACCAATGCATTTTAAATATTCCTGGCAAAAAAAGTTATTTTTATGTGTAAATATCCCACAATATCCAGCGGCATTTAGAGATAGTGAATTAAATTACTTATTTTGTAAAACAGCTAAAAAGGTTTTCTTCAATTTAATTCCATTTACATAGTTAATTTTGATATCCATGATAGGTACGTATTTTGACTACAATGTGCAGTCTTCATTAGTGTCATTCCCGCTAAAATAAAAATCTAACCCCCTTAAGTAAAAGTGTCAAGATCACAGGTATGAAAATGAAACTGCAACGTGCAGTAAGTAAAGTAAAGGAGAAAAATCTTTACAACTCTTTAAAAAGGAAAATCCCCAAAGGCTTGGTACCCATCATAATGAAGTAATGAAATTGGGTTGTTGGCGGAATACTTTAATAAATTAGCAAAAAAGGTTATCATCCATTTAATTCCACTTAGTTCATTTTGGTGGACACTGACGAAGACTGCCCATTGTACTCGTAATACGGATACCAAAATTAATTAAGTGGAATTAAATTGAAGAAAACCGTCTTTGCTGATTTATTTAAGCAGTCAGCTAACAACCTAATTTCATTACTTCATGTCTTTTTTTGTAAAATAGTCCCAATGTGCACACTATGCACTGTGGCGTGAAGTGACCAGATAATAATGTATGCTAGACCCATAATGTTACACACACAACAAAATTCTCTTACATCCAAAGCTAGGTTGGATTTATGACATCCTCTGCATATGTTTCATACAACAAATGTAATGGCAGTTCTGGCAATGCACTGCAGCGTACAAGCTTGTTTTTCTAGAATAAATATTTTCGTATAAAACCTTCACGACATGATTTTCTAGACGCAATGCATGTGGGAAAACAACTTTTGTACGAAAATATAGCTAACATATAAATTACAGAATCGTTTCATTTTGCATTTATTACTCACTCACACGCATTCAACATCAGAAACGAGCAGTAGCTTTTACTAAATGCAATCGTAAAAGGCATGATTTCGTTCGCATTCTTATTGCATCTATTTTTTTCGATGAACGCAGAATAAAGAAAAAACAGACAGCTGAGCGTAACATGAATGATTTTGAGTGTAGTAGTGTGCATGATTCTTCACTTACTCGCTCGGTATGCAGGTCTTTTACAATTGCATTCTGCTGAGTGAGATGAGTGAGAATTTTCCAGAAAGAATTACTTTTTATTTTCATAAATAGGGGAAATGGCTCTAATGTTGGTCTATGGATCTAAGATTGGGCCCATCGCTAAAAATCGGCTTTTTATCAAGAGGAACGCGTCATTGGGACGGTACAAATAAATATTTTTAGTCGCTATTGAAAATTTAGTCGATTACTGAATTTATGTATGGGCCCAAATTAGAGGCATTTAGGCCAACATTAGAGCCATTGACCCTACAACATAAATGTACCCATTTAAATACCTGCTTGCCCTTTTTTCTTCTTCTTCTTCTAAACTCTATGCCCAGAGAAGTTGATAAATTTTCCAACCTGAAAAATTTCTAAACCAGAC